CGCTCCATTTCCAGGCCCAGCGAGGCCGTCCCGCCTCTGCCTGCCCCCTGCAGGGTTCAGCATTAGCGTCCTTTCCTGAGCGTGGGGCAGCTTTGGCTCCTTTGTGTCCTTTCCGGGAGTGGCCCCTCTGGGTGCGTGGCCGACACACGGAATTTCCCGAGCTCACGCCCTGCAGGCGGACGGGGCTGAAGGAGCCCTTGTAGCCGAGAGCCGGGCACATGCTGAAAGGGGTCTGTGGACCGAGCAGGGCCGGGAAGAAAGCCGCGCCGCTGCAGTGGAGGGTGTGGCCAGGGCCCCTGAGTCGGGGCAGTGGACAGAGGAGGCCGGGGCTGGAGGCGCCAAGTCCCCAGTGGGTCTCAGACGAGTTCCCGCCTGTCACGTGGGATCCGGGCTCCTGTGTGACCCCCGGGGGACCTCCAGGCCTTGGGGAGGTTCTGCCGGGCCTGTGCTCGCCTGCCAGCCGGTCGCCCCCACGGGGACATTCCCGCACCCCTCTGAGCCCCGGGTCGCGTCCCTGTGTGGCAGGCGTGAACTCTCTGGCCCGTGTGGGTCCCCCACATCTGCCCCTTTCCTGCGCAAGGAGCTGCGTGGACGGGCTGCCCGATGGGAGCGGCCGGCCCTGTGCCCGCCCTGAGTGCACGGAGCGAAGTTATATTCCGTTGACAAAATGTGCTGGCTGCCTCTCGGGTTCCCCGGGGGGGGGGGCGGGGGGTATCTCTGGCATCCCCCTGCCCCTCTTCCTCCTCCTCCGGCCCCAGCAAGTCCAGCAGCAGGAGAGAGGAACTGCCTGGGCCTTTGTCTCCTGGCCCTGGGATGAGGCAGGATGTCTGCCTCCTGCCGCCCGCTGCCCGCTGCCCGCTGCCCGCTGCCCGCTGCCTGCTGACAGCAGGCGGATGATGCGACCCTCAGGGAAGGTGACCGGACCTGCCCCCGGCCTTGCTTGGTGCCTGGACGGAGTGCCCAGAGCTGCACAGTCCTCTTCCCGCCACACACCTTCCTGCCCGGGGCTCCGTCGGGGACGTAAACTCCGGGAGAAGCTCCGGGTGCCCCGCCATGGGCCTGACGGAAAGCCCGCCCCCTCACTCCTGGCTGCCCTGCAGGCCTGGGCTCAGCTGTGCACAGGGCCGGCGTCCAGGCGGCTGAGCCAGGGTTCCCTGGACAGAGCGGGGCTGCCTCTGGCCAGTTGGGATGGGGCTCCAGCAGAACACCCTGCTCTCCCAGTGCCTGAGCTGGACTGACCTCTGGATGGGGACAGGCAGGGGGCACCAGCAAAGTCCTTCCCGGCCAAGAGCGGGAGTGGCAGAAGGGGCAGAGAGGTCAAGGGTCAAGGCAGGAGACCCACAGCCCAGGGTCGCGCCAAAGTCGCACGAAGGTTGGGTAAAGGAACAGCTGTTTGCTCATCTCTGAAATGGGGTGAAAACCTGAAGCCCAACCCAATAAAATTATTAACAACAGTAAACCCATCACATGCTACCATAACAACAGTTTAAAAAATAACCATGTTCACAAAAATATAGTGACTAGCATTGCTTTACATTTTTATTGATTTTAGAGAGAGGAAGGGGAGGAGAGAGAGAGAAACATCCACCGTGAGGATCATTGATCGGCCACCTCCTGCACGCCCCCTCCTGACGCCTGTGCCCTGACCAGGAATCGAACCCCGAACTCCTGATTCATGGGACGATGCTCGACCACTGAGCCACGCTTACATTTTCGAAAGTTTCCTTGATGTTTGGGCTGTAAAAGAAAGCAGCTGGGTTCTCATATCTGCGTTTGCATTTAACCCTGCGCATCACACAGCCTCTGGGAAAGGGCACCCGTGGGCGCGCGGAGTCAACGGGCAGGGGCACCGGGTGCGGCTCTCAGCACGAGATGCTTGGGTCCTGCGCTCCCCAGGGCTCCCGGCCTCACCCTGGGAACTGCTGCTGTAAAATACGTGATGTGCCCCAAGAACAGCAAAGAAACGAAAACCCCCCAAACACAGGAGAGCAAGAGACATGAAAACATAGAAAACAAGCAGCAAAATGGACACAGAATCCAGCTACGCCACGTCCACAGGAGCGGGGGCTCCGGGGCAGGAGAGGGCAGCCGGTGGGCGGCCGCGGAGGCTGGGCTCGGCCAGCCGGGGCCAGGGACACGGACAGGGCCGGGCGTGCTGGGTGGAGGTTTCTATTGGTTTTCCCGGAGATGTCGGTGACGAAGCCGGGGCCTGGAGGGTGGCAGGCTTGCACTTCCTGCCGAAACCAGCCCCAGGGTCCTCTGCTGATTCCAGGTTGGGCCGGGAGTCCCCCGGAGCAAGTCCCAGGGTCTTTGAGGTGCCGTTGGGCGGCGGTGCCGAGGGCCCAGGAGCCGGGAGCCGTGTCCCGGGCTGACCTGGGACAGCACCAGCCTCCTGTGGTCCTGGCCCGAAGGGAGGCTCGCATGCGATCGAGAAGGTGGGAGGCGCCGAGGCCGAGGCTCTGGAGGTCTTGCTGGTGCAGGAGAGACACGCGGAGGACTCGTGGGTGCCCTCTGACGCCCGCTCCTCCGGCCGGGCCTGCCCAGGGCCAGGGGCAGCTTCGCAGGGACGAGGCGTCCTGGGCCGGCCAGCTGGGGCCCCCTCTCCAGCAGGCGGCTGTGTGGCTGCGGTGTCCGCTCCCCAGGCCTCACCTGGCTCTCCCGTTTGTGGGCCAGTCACTCTGGACCAGGGCCCCCCAGGGACCTCACCCCAACCTGGTGACCTCTGTGAGGACAGCATCTCCACGCAGGCTGTCTGCGGAGGAACGGGGGGCTGGACTCCAGCAGGTCCCGTTTGGGGGACACAGTTCAGCTCCTGGGAGCTGGCTGGGACTCTCTTGCCCCCCCACCCCCTTCCTGGTCTTTACTGCCCGGCCCGATGGCCCAGTCTTCCTCCCAAACGAAGTCCAGCCGTGGTGTTCGCAGCGTCTGGTTCCCCGGCTCAGCCCCGGCAGCAGGCTGCCGCCCTGCCGCTGGCTGCGTGGCCATGGCAAGCGGGGTGGCCCAGAGCGGGCTAGTGACTGCGTGGCCACGGAAAGCAGGTGAGTGACGGGGGCGGGGGGGGCAGCGCTCAGAGCCAGCGCCCAGGAAGTGTGGCCTCCGCGCAGGTCCACCTGCTCTGGGCTCAGCCCCAGCGCCTGGGTGGCCCAGACGCCGAGGCTATAAAGTGTGCAAACGGCTTGGGGCCGCCCTTGTCATGGGAAGTGTTGGGTCAGCGTCTTCCCTGCCAGGAGGGACCTTTCTCTTTTCTCCCCGGCCACAGCGCGGGGGGGCATCTGCGGGGGCGGGGTCCCCGAGCCTCAGAGACTGAGGACGAGGAGAGTGAGAGTGAGGCTCCCCAAATGCAGGACCAGGACCCCCTGCCCTCTCCCCCACCTCCCACCGTCCTGTCCCCAGCCTGGGAGGCAGCATGACTAGCATCCCCACTTCACAGATGGGGAACTTGAGGTCCCGAGTGTTTGAGCAATTTGCCCACAGTCACCAGGCTGACCCCTGCCAGGCTTTGCACCCTGCGTACTGCCCCCCGCCAGGCCCTCTGGCTTTCACTCTGCAGCCCTCCTGGTCCTGGGCATGGGGTGCGGGGCCCTCCTCGGGGGTGACGTATGTGGGCTAACTCCCCTCAGATGCCCCAGATGCAGGCACATCCTTCTAGCTGCCCCAGAGCCTGGCACAGCTCTTGGCATACAGTCGGTGCTCAATAAGTGCTGGGTGTCATAAACTGTCCAAGGGCCTTTCAGGGACACGGCTTGCACACTCCAGGGGTGAAGGAGGGTGTGGTGGGCAGTTGGGGTGAGCGGCCTCTGCTGAGTCACCATCCCGCCGCCTGCCCAGGGCCCTGCCTGGTCAGAAGGGAGCCCACACCCAGGCCTGGTGCTGCCCGAGAGGCTCGGATTCGGGGAGACCAGGAGCCACCTGGCTGCCACCTCCCTGACCTTCACTGGCCCCCAGTGACCTCTGCACTTCTGATTCCTGGGGCGCCGGCTGCTCTGAGGACCTGACCTCACTCGCTTCCTGGTCACCCGTGACCGTGGGCCCTGGGCCTCGCTTTTCCCCTGGCTCCACCTGGACGCGGTGAAACCCAGACTGTGCCCGGCTGCCCGAGGGGCTGACGTTGACCTGCCTCTGAAGTGGGCAGCGAGGTCTGGCCTGCGCCGGGAGGAGAGGCAAGTGTGGTCACACCTCCTGGTCGGGACCTGGGAGCTCAGACCGTGTCCCACTTCCTGGGGCGCGTCTGCGGCCGGCAGGGCTGTGTGCCCAGAGGCAGGCAGGCAGAGGGCAGAGGTCACCGTCCTTGGTCAGATGGCCTCCTGCTGCCCAGGCCTCCTGGGCAGGCACTGGCCCCTGCCAGTCACGCACACACCAGGCTCAGTTTGGCAACACGGCCCACCGTGCTGACACCCCGGGCCGCCCCGGAGCCCGTGGCCTGGCCTTGAGTTTGAGGAGGAGGCCTGGTCTCTGCACAGGCAGGTCCTCAGGCTTTTGTCCGTCTGTTGGGGCCAGGCCATGGCCCTCTCCCCCAGGCCTACCCCACACCCGCCCAGGAGGTGCCGCCAGCCCAGGGGCCGGGAATCTTCACTCTGGTGCCCAAGGGCGGCTCTTTGAGGAAAAGCGAGAGGCCTGGTTTATGTGGGTTCTTGGTGCATCACTCACACCACACAGCTGCCTCGAAAATTCCGGACCTGGACGAGTAAACAGGCTCTCGTAGATGCAGGGGGTCTGAGCTGGGGGGGCGCCGAGGATGGGGTCTGAGCTGGGGGAGGGGGCGCCAAGGGTGGGGTCTGAGCTGGGGGAGGGGGCGCTGAGGGTGGGGTTGCAGGGGAGGGGGAGAGGGAGGCGCCCACAGCTCCTGCCAGCCCCTCGCTCCAGACAAGCGCCTTGAGAATCCCAAACCAGACGCAGTCAAGTGTTAAACCAGGCCCCTCTCCCGTTTTATCTGATGCCAAATCACCTGACACCAGACACTGCGTGTGTGGCTTGCACACCAGCTCCTGGAGGGGGGCAGGGGTGGGGGCAGCCCAGGGGACAGGGTCCCTCGGCCGGCTGCTGGCCTGGCGGACCCCTCCCTGCCACCACCCCCCCTCCCACCAGTGAGGCTGCCAGGAGGCCAGGGCTGAGCAGCCAGCCGGAGCGGAGGCTGATCCTCGGTAATTGCCGAGGGAGGCGTGGGCCTTCTCCCCTTTCCTGGCACTTAGCTGCAGGTCGGCCCTGAGAGCCTCGGTGAGGCCCCCTGGGCCTGGGATGAAACCCGACCGGCCCTAATCGCCGGGGGAGCTGTGGTCCTGCCCGCCTGCAGGTGAGCACCGGCTCTGGGCGCCCTCCCTGGCCCCGGCCCCTTCGAGCAGATTAGTGCAGACACCTGGGTTACTCGGGCAGCTCCCGCCCGGCACCCAGGTGGGCCCCAGGCGGGGAGAGGTGGGAGGTGTGGCCCAGCGTCCACTGCTCTCGGGGGTGCAGGTCCTGGAGCTGCCCCCTCCCCACGTGCCGCCCTCTCCAGGGCCTGGGGGGCCTCCCTGGTTCCCTCTCTGCAGGGCATCGATTCCCACGACCCTGGCCTGGCCCTAACTTAAACTAACAGGGTTGAGCCCCAGGCCCCAGCTGGTCCCCAGCCCAGCTCTGGTGGTGGCAAAGCCTCGCCTTCTTCCTCGACCGGCCTGTCCCCTCCTCCCTGACCCCCCTCGAGCTGCATGTCCCAGCTCGAAGCCTTCTCCTGGGACCCACAAGCAGCCCCATTCTTCACCGCCCCCCCCCCACTGCACCCCCTGACCCCACCTCACCCTACTTTGCTTTTGAAAGACAATCGCACCGCCTCCCAGATCCCGGCTTGTTTGTTAGTGTCGTGTCCTCTCTCTCTCTCTCTCTCCCCCCCCCCCCCCCCCCAATCTTCCTGCCTGGGCCGCGAGCCTCGGCCTCTTCCCCGTGTCCCTGCACCTGGAACAGCCCAGCACAGAGCGAGCCTGTGAGTACTTGGTGGATGAGTGGATGGTGGGTGGGTTTTTCTCTTATAAAAACTGTAATTGTGGTAAAAAAAAAGATGTGACATAGAATGCGCCGTGGCGTTCGTGTTTACATCACAGCACAGCGGCGCTGACCACACGCACATGGCTGTGCAGCAGACGTCGGGAGCCTTCTCGTCTCCCCACGGAGGCCCTGCCCACTGCGCCCGACTCGCCCTCACTTCCTGCCTGAGCCTGGCTCCTGCAGGTCCTCACACAGGGAGTCGGACGCGGTGTGTCCTGCGTGGGGCCTCCTCGGGGAGCACGGGGCCCTCGGGGCCCTCGCAGTGGCTCCGCTTGCCTTCTTTCTGAGCTGGGGCTCCGGGTGTGGCTGTGGTGTCCACGCCTCTGCGGGCAACACCGGGTGCTTCCCCTTCGGGGTCATCGGGAGTGAGCTGTGGACACAGTGTGCACCTGACCTTTAAGGTCCCGCTTGCGGCCGGGCCGGCGGGCTCAAGGCTGAGCGTCGACCTAGGAACCAGGAGGTCACGGTTCGATTCCCGGTCAGGGCACCTGCCCGGGTTGTGGGCTTGATCCCATGTGGGGAGTGCAGGAGGCAGCCGATCGATGATTCCCTCTCATCACTGATGTTTCTCTCTCTCTCCCTTCCTCTCTGACATCAATAAAACGTATTTTTTTAAAAAGATCCTGCTTTCTATTCTATTGGACTTACACCCAGAAGTACGATGCCTGGACCCATGGTAGTTCGGTTTTCAATTGTCGGGGACAAGAGTACTGTTTCCACCACAGGGCACCGGCCACATACCCCCCAGGCCCGAGGGTTGCTTCTCCACGTTCTCGCAACAATAGGTGTTTCCAGTCGTTTTGGGCACAGCCGTCTGGTCCGTGGTTTCAAAGTGCATTTCTCTGACGGCCTGAGACCTGGAGCCTCAGCAGGCTGCTGGCCGTGTCACATGGGTGGTTGGTTGTTGTCGGCTGCAGGAGCTCGTGTCTGTGGGGGACTGACCTGTCTCAGATGTGTGTTTGCGAGTGTTTTATCCGAGTCTGTGGGTGCCCTCCCCTCGGGCACTGTTCCCGCTGCCCAGCAGGTGCTCACAGCACTGGGTTGGTTCCTGTCTGTCCTGCGGCTGCGCTGGTCCCTCTGTCTGTCCTGCGGCTGCACTGGTCCCTCTGTCTGTCCTGTGGCTGCGCTGGTCCCTCTGTCTGTCCTGTGGCTGCACTGGTCCCTCTGTCTGTCCTGTGGCTGCGCTGGTCCCTCTGTCTGTCCTGTGGCTGCGCTGGTCCCTCTGTCTGTCCTGCGGCTGCGCTGGTCCCTCTGTCTGTCCTGTGGCTGCGCTGGTCCCTCTGTCTGTCCTGTGGCTGCACTGGTCCCTCTGTCTGTCCTGTGGCTGTGCTGGTCCCTCTGTCTGTCCTGTGGCTGCACTGGTCCCTCTGTCTGTCCTGCGGCTGCGCTGGGACGTGAGAAGCTGTCTCCCTCCAGCTGAGGGCGGCTGAGGAGCCTGACCCCCCTTCTCCTGCCAGGGAGCTTGTTAGGAATCAGACACTTAATTAGTTGGCACATCAGATGTTTCCAAAATACCTTTCTTTCTTTTTTTCTTATTTGATCTTCGGAAAACCTTGATATTCAAAGCGGGCTGTGCTGCCTGCTCCCTCTAAGACCTGCTGGGCAAACCTTTCAGCCCTCACAGGGGGGCTGAGGGCTCTTCTTGGGGGAGAGGGGTCAGGCCCAGGGCCAGGCCTGCAAAAGCCCCCCCCCACCCCACCCCCCCAAAACTGTTGTGCAGACAGGTTCGGTGAATACCAGGGTGGTCTGGAGGTGGGAGGGAGAGCGGGGGAGAGAGGCTGGGAGCCCAAGGGGTTCCAGGGTGAGGGGGCGGTTGGCTGTGGGCCGGCCCCCTCTCTCCCCCCTGGAGCTGCATCTTTTCAAAACACCAGTTGCCCCCCCTTTCCCCTCTCCTGGGTTCCAGAAACTCAGACAGCTGGCTCTTACCCTGTCTTGGGTCCAGACCCTGAGCAAGGGGGGCACTGGGGCTTCAAAGGATTCTGGGGGGTCAGGCCCAGGCGGGGAGACAGATGCTCCAGGTGGGGCGGGCAAGGCCCCCAAGAGGTGTGGCCCCTCCCTGGGTGGGAGAGGTCCGGGCCCAACACCAAAGTGTCTCGGACCCTGGCTCTGCTGTGCCCAGACCGCCCGCCCCCCCCCATTCATATGCCATGAGTTGTATGAGGTGGAAGCATAGGAAACTGCCAGTATTCAAACCATGTTGATGTACAAAAATGGCAATTCCATGTGCCTCACTGTGTGCATTTCTCTGCTCCGTTCTCTCCTCATGCCCCTCCGGCCAAGCTGGGTGGAGCTTAGTCTCTTCCTTCCGCTTCCCCCACCAGGGCCCGTGACAGGTGGGGCCTGGGTGACCTCCCTGGTGCATTCCACACCGGCTGACAGCGAGCCACCATTCCTATCGGACATCCCTGAGGCGGGGCTGACTCATCTCCCAGGCTGTGCTCTCCTGAGGGCGGGGTCCTGACCCCTCAGGAGTCCACACTTGCCCGGTGGGGGTGCCCACTGCCCACTGATACCAAGAGACGTTCATTTATTGAGCACCTACTGCGTGCCAGGTATAACTCTAGGTGGGAGGATGGGAAAAAACAAAGTGGTCGACGACTCCTTGCCTGAGATCATTTGCTTCCGGAGAAATAGAGTGGACGCATCTCATAATCACAGTTAATACAGGCGTGGGGCTTCTGGACAAGGAGGACTAACGAAGGGACCAGATTCACCCTCCTGCATACAAAAATATAAAACAAGGGGTTTGTGTGTGTGTGTTTGTTAATCCTCAGTCGAGGATATTTTTCTATTGATCTTTTAGAGAGAGTGGGAGAGAGGCAAAGAGACATCGATGTGAGAGAAACACATTGGTCAGTTGCCTCCTGCACACTCCCCAACCAGAGCCGGGGCAGGGGAGGACCATGGAACCAAGGCACGTGCCCTTGACCGGAATCGAACCTGGGACCCTTTGGTCCACAGGCTGGCGCTCTATCCACTGAGCCACACCGGCCAGGGCTAAAACAATGTTTTTCAAGAATCTGAGCACCAGGCAGTAAAGGACAGCGATCCCTGCGGGAAGGACAGCAAGTGGGTTGGTCCTACAAAAGCCCGGCTGACTGCCCGAGAGACATTCAGACCACAGCACAGGGGAGGGAAGCGAGTTGAGAGATGAGAGTGTGGGGAAGCCAGGTGACTGAGAGTCCTGGGACATAGCGTCAGGGCGCGAAGACGCCGAGGTGCACAAGGGACCTCCGTGCGTGGTCAGGGAACCGGTGTGAGAAAACTACCCAAGGCCAGGAAGAGAACAGCCTGAGTAGGAACGGAGCCTTTTAGTTCCCTGCCAAACGAGGACCCTGCAGGTGCCGAGGCACACGGGAGAGTGCGCAAAAGGCCTGGGCTCAAGAGTGGAAAGTGTTAGTGACAAGATAAATTTTACAATGTCTGTCACCCAACAAAAAATTAGCAGTCATACGAAGAAGAAGGAATGTATGACTCATAACGGAGAAAATGCAACCAATGGGAATGACACAGGACTAACATGGGTGTTAGAATTAGCAGACAAGGACATTAAATTAATTACCAACACTTTATTCCATATACACAACATGTTAGAGACATAGAAGATATAGAAAAAGACTTAAATTGAACTTTTAGAAATGAAAAATTACAATGACCATGAAATGGCCTATGGAGATGAAGAATAGCAGATTCAATATTATAGAAGAAAAGATTAGTGAATTTGAATACATAGCAATCGAAACTATTTAAAATGAAATGCAGAGGGAAAATAATTAAATAAACAAAGCATTTAATCGAAGTATGAATCATAAGCACAAGAAACATGAAAAGAACCACACCAAAGCATGTGATAAATTACTCAAAACTAGTAATGAATAGAAACTATTTAAAGCAGCCAGCGGGAAAAGATGCATTGTGTACTGAAGAAGGATGAGGGTGGCAGCAGATTCTCCTTTAACACATGCAAACTAGAAGACAGGAGAGCAGCACCTTTAAATTACTGAGAGCAAAAAACCTGTAAATCCAGAATTCTATACCCAGTGAAAATGACTTTTTTTTTTTAAAAAAAAGGCAAAATAAAGATTATTCAGACAAAAGCTAAAAAAATGTATTGCCAGCAGACCTGTACTACAGGATATGTTAAAGAAAATCAGGCAGAAGGAAAATTATATCAGATAAAAATATGAATCTACACAAAAGAAATAAAAAGAATCAGAGATGGTAAACACTGAGGAAAATCTGTAAGTTTTATTGTTATTTAAATCTCCTTAAAAGGTAATTGAGCTTTGGGATTGGCAGTGTTACTTTGGGGAAAAAAAACAACAACAAAAAACTTTCCCCAAGGCCAGTGGTTGGCAAACTGCAGCTCGCGAGCCACATGTGGCTCTTCCACAAAATACCACGTGTGGGTGCGCACGTACAATGTGCTTGAAACTTCGTGGCCCATGCACAGAAGTCAGTATTTTGTGGAAGAGCCACACTCAAGGGGCCAAAGAGCCGCATGTGGCTCGTGAGCCGCAGTTTGCCAACCACAGCCCTAGACAAACATGTTAAACTGGTTGCAATTAGCAAAGACAGCCACTCAGTGTTGGTAGCTGTTGCTGAAAGGGCTACAGAAAATTATGGGGCATTTGTTCAACAAAACCCATACCACTTGGCAAGTACAATGTGGACTGCACCTGCCCCCATGGTTCTTTGCTGCAGAGCACCTACGCCAGGGGGCTTGGGGTTGCATGGAAACTCCCGCCGCCCCCAGCTCCCCGAGATGGACAAGCCATTCTGTGGGGGCCCAGCAGCCAGGGAGCATGATGGGGTCCCTTCCCAGCAAGGTGCTACGGAAGAGCTATGCCAGGGGGGTGGTGGCACCTGCTCTCCTGCTCCGGCTCCAGCTCCAGCTCCTGCTCTGCCAGGAAGACCCAGGCGGAGAAGTGGGAACAGTGCAGCGTTCTCCTCCCACGCTCTGTGTGCGGGACGCTGTGCTGGTGGCTGAGAGCTGACAGGCAGCCCCACGCTCCCATGGGCAGATTCTATGCTGCTTGTCTCTGTGTTATTAGTAATCAGTACCAGGTGACGGAGGCAGCTGGGTGCACCAGTTATTGCACCTCCCTTCCTTATAGCTCCTGCCCTGTGGTGAGGATCTCGGAGGGGTGGCTGGTGAAGACTGAGTTTCCCCACCCCCAGCTCCTCTTCCATAGCACAGAGCTTCTGCCCAGGGTGGGGCAGAATCAGAGATGGTAACACCATCTTCAAAGACTGCCAACACCCTTCCCGTGCCAATGGGCCTGACTTTACTCAGATCAGACTGTGGAGCAATTTCTGCTCCAAGGCATTGCTAGAAACAATAGAGCAATCAGTTAGCATCAGGTTGGTGTGATACTAATAGAGGTATACAAGCCAAAAATGTACGTCACGGAAAAAAGCAGTCAGAGAGAGCCAGGCTAAAACTGGAGTCACCCTTGGGGTCTGTTAGGTGGCATGCATGCTGACACTGCCCCCTCTGAGGGCTGGC